GTTACGCATCATGTGATGAGCTGCTATTCGCATCCGAGATTCCTCAGAATCCAGGGCAAAATCCTTTCTGACTATTTGTTCACAAGTAGTCATGGCAATCTTAATTGATCGATCCACCACAGGATGGACCAACTCCTGAACAGCCCGTTCAATTGCTTGACGCACACACTGCTTCAACTGTGGATGGGCCTGAAACAAGGGAATCTAGGAAGGGAGAAACAAGACAACAGCTTGTTTAAATAAGGCAACCCAATTTCTATCAGTAATCACACCCATGATTTTATTTTAGAATGACTTCAAGGTTAACCATAACTACCCATTTCTACTTTAAATTAATCAATAAAAAGCCCAGGATCAAAAGTTGGGCTACAAAGAGGAAGTAGCATTCCTTGTGGTGCAAGGTAATATATGTTTTTGATTTTTTTAAAAGTCCTATTGCTGCCGGGACCGGTTTGGCTCAATGGATAGAGCGTCAGCTTGGGGACTGAAAGGTCCGAAGTTCGATTCCGGTCAAGGGCATGTACCTTGGTTGGGGGCATATCCCCAGTAGGGGGTGTGCAAGAGGCAGCTGATCGATGACTCTCTCTCATCGATGTTTCTAACTCTCTATCTCTCTCCCTTCCTCTCTGTACAAAATCAATAAAATAATAAATAAATAAATAAATAAAAGTCCTATTGCTCATTACAAGATACATTACCTAAAGACACACTACTTGTTTAATTAAAATATGTGACTCAAGTACTCATTTAAATAGTAATTCCTTTAGTTGGGGAAATGGAAAAAGAAACAAGTTTACAGAGAGAACGCTTTCTACAAAATTTTTTATTGCTACAAATAATTCCTCAGAATAGCAAGAATTTTGCATAATCATACATTGAAGCCTCTGCTCAAAAGATTTTCTAATTTTTTCTCTGGTAGAAACTATGCCCTAATACTCACTTGGTCTCTTTACCTTACTGAATTTTTAAGAAATCTTAAAAATATTCATGAACACAAAAGTATTTGGATTACTGAGAATAATAAAAAGAGGAATCACAATTTCTAGATCTAGATTTTTCTTTCAAAAACTAAATGCACATCTATACAAAACAAGAAATATCGGGTTAAAATTATCTTTCTAAAATGTTTTTAAGTCCTTTAAATCTAAATGGTCAATGGATTAATAATGTTACTCCTGTATTTGTGAACATTCTCTAAAAAACAAAGACCATAAAAACTCCAAGTATATGATTAAACTAAACAAATGTTAAGCATAATAAAAGATAGAGGATAATCAATTATCACTCTGAATATAGACAATAAAACCTTTAAATAAAGAATCGATGGGAAGTTACTTATAAAGTTAGACCAGATTGCTTCCCAGAACCAGGACACAGAAACAAAGAAAGAAGTTACTTCTAGGCCTTAACCTGGAGATTTATACACACAAATGGATCAGTTCAGTTTCAGCTCCTGTTTAAAACTGGCTTAATGCAAAGGTAAGGTGACATGCTAATGAAAATAAAGAGCAAAAGCTATAGTATACACTGAGACTCTTCTGATCTGAGCCAAGGAATTCTTACAGATTGTGATTGTACAGGGTGAGGCAAAAGTACGTTTATATGGAAAATAATACAATTAATAAATTGTTTTATGTACTCACAACTAGAAACCTATGTTTGCCCCACCCTCTAAGTGAATTTCATTTCACAGGTACTTAGCAAACAAGATGTAGTCATTGCAAACATTCACAACTTCCTTCCATTTTAGATAGGCTAGGTATCAAGTGAAAGAAAAATATCAAAGGCCAGATCTTCATTAGTACTCACTTTTCCATCAGTCTCTTTGTCAAAATAAAAACTCATACATTGGGTTGAGGGCCATGGATGGTTACAATTTTTACCATCCTAATAGGGCAAAGAGTGCCTCTCTGGTTTGTAGAGGGAGCCAGCTGTATTGATTTTAATCATGGCTTTGGATATGCTGAACCAATTTAAATGATACTAGTCACAATGACTATTTTTAGAGTAGAAAACATCCCAGCTGTACTACACAGCAGTGCCCAATCCCTGTTCTGTGCACAAAAATCTACAACCTAGGAATCCAGGAAGAAGGGGGAAAGAGAAGGTAACCAGTGTCACAAGGCAGAAGTTTGGGGATGAGATGATGTTTACTTACTGTTGGGTTTAAAGTAATATGCGGAGCCAGGCCTGCCAGGGAATAGACGTTGATGTCATGATAGCTGTATTGTGGCTGTGGTGGAACAGTGGCTGTACAGGTGGTACTAGTAGCTGGTGTTGTAGAAGTTGCTAAAAGTAAAGACACAAAGTAAGAGCTAATAAAGATAGAATGTTTCTTGACTTTACTATAAAATTGGTAGGGCATCAAGTAGCTTTTATTTCATTAAACTGGATTAAAGAATGGCGGTATAGGGAAATGACAAAGGCCATATCTTCCCTACCCTGAATTATCATAAAAATTCTGTCATTTCAACAGAGATTTGAACCAACTATGTAAAACTATGTCAGTACCAGTGCCCATAGTTCAGAAATCAATTAAGAGGTTATGCAGCATTAGCAGGCCTGAACCTTGGATTACTCCTTATTATAGATGTCTATTTTCAATCTAGGCTGTTACCTGGTTTCCACCTGGGAATTTTTAGCTACTGAGGGCTGAGAGAGAAAAGAAAAAAAAAGCTGGTTTATTCTAACCACACCTCCCAATCATCTCTGTTGCCCCAGCACTTAAAATCATCTTGGCCTTCATAAAATAATCCAATCTCCTAGGAGGTCTACCTGGTCTGATCACCCCCAGATTGGAGGAATAACACAGGCTGTCATGCCACTGAATTCTTTCTGAGACCTCACACAAGATAATTGACAGATTTAATTAAGAATGCCACATGAATTACTCAGATATACTCTAATATGGCACGACAATGTCTAGACATTGCTAACATTTCCTTAATAATTAGAATGCCCACCAAAAAGTATATAAAAGTTGCTGGGACCGGTTTGGCTCAGTGGATAGAGTGTCGGCCTGCGGACTGAAAGGTCCCGGGTTCAATTCCGGGCAAGGGCATGTACCTTGGTTGCAGGCACATCCCCAGTAGGGGCTGTGCAAGAGGCAGCTGATCGATGATTCTCTCTCATTGATGTTTCTAGCTCTCTATCCCTCTCTCTTACTCTCTGTGAAAAATCAATAAAATATATTAAAAAAAAAAAAAAAAAGAATACAAAAGTTTCAGCAGCACAATGTTCAACGATTACTTGCTAGAAGCATGAAAATGTACCATTTCAGAGAACATTCTGGTAAATAAAGAGCAGCTAACTATTATACTTACTTGTGGTTGTGATGGGAGGCAGTTCTTCTGGCTGCTTGACATCTTTCTTTGGGGCAGAGAGCTGCTCATCTAAGTTCTTGAGGCGATCTTTGTCCTTCAGGAGGCTTCCAGGTTTTAGCTCGTTGATGTCTAATGCAAGGTTCTTGCAGAGGACCTCAATCTCAAACTTCAAGTTTAACTGCGTAATTCCAATATTCGATTAGAATTTTTAAAATAAACTTTAGCTTTATTTATAACATAAATGACTTACTGGATTGTTACAAGGCCCTTCCCCCAGTACTCTACCTCTCCTACAAATTTTAATAATGTGAAAACAGAGAATGTTCCAAGGGATAAAGAAGCAACAAATTTACCTTTAAGTCGTGTTCCTGATGTAGCTCAGCTAATACATTCATAATTGCCATTGTCCAGGGGTTGGGTGGCCTAAAAACCTAAAGAAAATCTATTATGTTAAAATGAACTCCACATCACTTCAATTTGCATAATTTAAAATGTTAAGCGTGTATATATATATGTGGCTATAAGTATTAAGCGCTCCCACAAAACCCCTAGCCTTGTACATAAAATTTCAGAAAAACACCAAAATTCAAAGCCATCTATTAGATATCAGTTCTTTAATTTACTTAGCAATACATTAGAAATACAACTTTATCCGAGGAATACTGATTGAACTAGCGCTATTCATAAGAACTAGGGACATAATTTCTTCACCTTGTGCTGAAATTAACTCTTACAATTTAGCCATTAATAAAATATTAAAATCTACTCACCACGCTACGAATGCTAGACTCTAAAACTTTGGCAACAAAGGGCACCACATAGAGCAATTCTTGCTGTCCTTTAACATAAGCCTCTAGCAGCAAAGATTTTACATCCAAGTCCTATGGGGGGAGAAATAGTATTTTTAAAAGCTAGGAATATACTTCAAAACTCTTCACAAAGTACACAAAGAACACTGTGCCAAACTTATCCTCAAAAGAGAAATCAAAGTAATATCTTACTTTTGCCTTCCCAAAATAGTAGTGACAATCATAACTTACTGGCTTTTGTGCATCCCCATAAATGATGTGGGGTCATGAGCATGCAATTAGAGATTCAAAACATGGACCAAACTCTTACAAGTACCCATTTCTTAAAATAGCCCCAAATAAAGGCTTTTAGACATAATATGCTATATGAACATTCTTAAATTCTATATAAACTTTTAGCTGGAACTCACAGTATGTAGGATGGGTTTATTTTTAGCTAGTGTGATCATTCCTAGCCAGTGTCCCAAGTTCTTCAGCAAAGAACGATCTGAAAAATTGGCTGCAGCTTTATCAGAGGTCAAGAGCACCTAAAGGGGGAGGGGAGAAAGAGGATAAAGCAGAATTTAGAAAGATGAAAATGAGCTTATGGAGAAAAAAAAAAAACTTAAATAAATGTTTGAGAATTTCATTATTCTATGTTAAAAACAAGCCGTCAATCATGGACATGGACAACAGTATGGCGATGTGGGGAGGGGGTTAAGGAGGAGGTGAAAGAGGGCATAGAGGGGATAAATGGTGATGGGGGAAAAATAATAATAAAAACCCAAGTCATCAATGATGAAAACATGCCCCCAAAGTAGATCTATTTCATACTATCATAGCACCATTTTGTGTGTTCAGTGACCTTTTTACCTATTCGTGCCTTTCATTACATTTTATTTTTATAGGTAATATAACTACATCACACAAAATACAAGTATACGCAAGATTAAAAGTGTGATGTATGCTCCCACAGAAAAGTATTTTAAAAGTCTGAAAATGTTAGGTAGGTTGAAGCCAACTGCAATTCAAATGAAAACTCAAAAAAAAAAAAATCTTTTTGATTTATGCTTCTAAATCCTTCAAGATGACAGACATGGAGAAATGTAACCAAGATCATAATCTCTATTTCAGATTGTACCATTTTCCAGATCACTGTATATCTCTGGAAACAAGATAACTCTTTAAAATACAGTATAATATAGCATATACACTTCTTTGCAAATTTTCTAGAAAACTCAAGTCCATTCCATTGATTTTTTAGTACTTTCTCTTGAGAATAAGGGGGACAGAACCATCATATAAATTAACATTTATAATTTAAAATTGTTTGAAATTATCTTGAGATTTTGCTTTCAAGTGTGTGGAAGTTTTCATATATCCCAACCATTTTTACTATCCTATATAAGCCTATGTAATAAAAGGCTAATATGCAAATCAATGCAGGAGCTGCCCCCTGGTGGTCAGTGTGCTCCCACAGGGAGAGTGCTGCTCAGCCAGAAGCCCTGAGCCAGGCTCGTGGCTGGTGAGCCTCTCCCGCCTCCTCCTCCGCAGCAGCACTAAGGATGTCCAACTGCTGGCTTAGGCCCACTCCCCGCAGGGAACTGGCCTAAACTGACAGACATCCCCTGAGAGGGATGTTTTTAACATAGATGGATACCGGTAAATTTCATGCACCAGCCCTCTAGTCACATAATAAAGGCTAAATAAAATTATGTTCCTTAACCCCATCCAGCAACAGCAGAATGGCAATATCAGCTGTGCAACAGAAAAGAGCCAGGAATTCTTTTGCACTACAGCGTAACCTAGAATGGGGAGAATTCCCATACACAGGTTTAAATATAGTGCCCACTCCTCAGCTAATGTCCCAAGTTATTCAGCAAAGAATGATCATAGCTGTACGCTGGTTCATGCTGTGTACTCGAAAAGTTATTCCCCCTAGGAAATAAAATACTTGGCCGGGACCAGTTTGGCTCAATGGATAGAGCGTCAGCTTGGGGACTGAAGGGTCCCGGGTTCGAGCGGTCAAGGGCATGTACCTTGGTTGTGGGCACATCCCCAGTAGGGGGTGTGCAAGAGGCAGCTGATCAATGACTCTCTCTCATCGATGTTTCTAACTCTCTATCTCTCTCCCTTCCTCTCTGTATAAAATCAATAAAATATATTAAAAAAAAAAAAAAAAAGAAAAAAAAAAAGAAAGAAAGAAAGAAAGAAAGAAAGAAAGAAAGAAAGAAAGAAAGAAAATACTAGAATTTTTATGGAACAAGCATTCACTCGGGAAGAGTTTGACCTTAAAATAAACTGAAAGAAAGAAAGAAAGAAAGAAAGAAAGAAAGAAAGAAAGAAAGAAAGAAAGAAAGAAAGAAAGAAAGAAAGAAAGAAAATACTTGAATTTTTATGGAACAAGCATTCACTCGGGAAGAGTTTGACCTTAAAATAAACTGCTGAGAATCCTAAACAGCAGATGGTACACAAACAGGTCTAGAGTTGAGAGATATCTGGCACTTAAGACATAAAAGAAAACATTCACTGCAACACAGTTTCTGTAATAGTGAAAGTTAATAACCTAAATATCCAAATACTCATACAATGAATTTCTATTAAGACTATTAAAAAACAAAACAAAGGGATTACAGCTAAGAGCATATTGCAAACATGGGAGGGGGCGCAGGGGAGCAAGTTAAAAACATTCAGAGGATAAAGAAAAAACATGGATAATGAAAACAATTCAGAATAGTAGTTACTTACAAAGTACACTCAGTATGTCTGTAAGACTAAATTCATGAAATTTAGTTATATATTTGAAACAAATGTTAGAGCAGTTTCATAGACATGTTCAAAAAACAGCAGCACTGCCCCCACTCCAAATTCTGCCTGTACAATCAATTATTTCCATAATCAAAACAGAAAAAGAACAGAAAAGAAGTACAAAAACTAACTTACTTTGATGTTTCTGTAGGTCTCAGTTAGAACCATCTTATTAAATTCAGGATTCTTCAGTGTGTCAAGGAAGTTTGAATACAGGCTATGAAAGTTTGGCTCAATACTGACTCTCTTCATAACCAGGTATTGTGAAACCCAAGGCATGAATTCTTCCTTCACTGTTTCCTTTAGTTCTTCAACCTAGCCAACCAATGACACGGAAAATATATAATTAAAAGATTGTGAAATACAGTTATGTGTTTTGTTTCTGAGAATAGTACTATAGCATATGGCTCCTTGCAAAATTATGTACTAAATCAAATCACTATGCTACTTCTCTCCCCCACATCAGACAGATGCCATGACATACAGTGTGTTCAATTCCATAAACTGTGGGTGATTAGTACAAACACCTACGGTAGCTTTCAACTTTAAAATTATAAAACATGTAGTCCCTCATCCACATCTTACCCAACTCTCCATTTGACCAAAAAAGGATAAATTACTAATCTACAACCTGCCATTAAAAGACCTAACACCAGAACTATGTTTTCCTTATTTCCATCTCCAGGAATCATCTGTAAAATTTGATACTTCTTTTCCAAAAAGGATAGTAAAAAGCTTTAGTTCCTCCCTACCCAACCCCAACTCAATTATGGTGGGATTTTAAAAGGTAGTACTTGCATATATCGCAAACCTACTTGTTTAATCTAATCCTACTGGCCAAGAGAGGCATTTCTAATTGCCTTAGCATATAATCTTGCAAGGGAAGCATCACTCCTTATGCTTTTCACAAGGGCTACCTGTGATTAGACTCCTAATAAATGCTCCCAATGGTCTCTGGAACAGTTGTGACTAGAAGCACAAAAAACCTCCCACCATCAAGAGATCAATAAGTTTACTTTTAAATGCCTGCAACTCACTGCAAAACAATACATTTAAAACTAATTCTATTTAACATCCACATAACCACACACATTAAGTTATATGTACACCTCCCCTTCGTTTTGATTCTATTACCTCTACCTTTAAAGTTAAGTGAATATTAAAAAGGATACAGAATGTAAACCCCCCAAACTATTAGTGATACCAATAGAGAGCATCTGTAAGTGATATGTAAACTATTACACCATGCTCACCTTTTGTGTCATATTCGACTGTGAGAGATTGTTGAAGATAAAAGCAATTTTCTCTTGGATATTTTCAGGGGGCTCTACAATTCTTTCAGTTTGATCTGTGGCCACAAGCAACGTATCTATATTTGTAGTATTAATAGAAGGCTAAAGAAGTAAAGTACATAAACAGATTAAAATGCTTAGTTGACATATACAGAAAAAAATTGTACACAAATTCCTTTAGTATAAAAAAAATACATGTGGGCCCTAGACAGTTTGACTCAGAGGATAGAGCATCAGCCTGTGGACTCAGGGGTCCCAGTTTGATTCCGGTCAAGGGCACATGCCCAGGTTGTGGACTTGATCCCCAGTAGATGTGTGGGAAGCAGCCAATTAATAATTCCCTCTAATCATTGATGTTTCTCTCTTTCTCTTTCTCTCTAAAATCAATACAAATATATATATTTTTAAAAGTACACATAGTATATGACAGTGCACTGAAGTTGGCAAGAATATATATTAATTTATTCATAGTGGCTGCCTCTGGGAAATCTGAGGGAGATACAAAGGGAGAAATGCTGGTCTTTTCAACTTTTTTAGTAGGCATGTGTTTATATAATATTAAAATACATGCTCATTAACGCATATATTATGACATAAATTCTGGAAGAGAAAAAAAGATAGACCTACTTACTGGCACATCTTTCTTAAAGCTGACTCCAGTAGGCCTGGTGACGGTAACCGTTTTTGCCACAGTGGTGGTTGTCGAGGTCGTTACCATGGTGCTAACCTGCCCGGCAAGAGGCGCTTTTGTGGGAACCTGGGCCTGGGCCTGGGCCTGCGCCAGTGCAATGCTCCCGGGGGTTGTGATAGAGCCCTGCATTTTCACAGGAGGGTCTCTAGACTGCTGTCCGTACTCGATATACTGTAGGGATAGGGAGAGAAAAACACATTTTAAAGGAGTTCTTAAAATTTTTTTAAAAATTATACTCCCCTTATTTCTGAGAGGCTATTCTTTTGGTTCATCTACCCCCCTTACTCCATGAGCCATATTCTCAAATGTATAATATTTATGTGTATATACTAGATACTGAGGGTAAAATATTAATATTTATGAAAGAATTAGCCTAGCAAAATAATTTTTAAAAAAAGCAGCCACAGGCACCTGCATAAAAATTTCTTTAAATCCCTTTAACATTTATTTAAATTTATATAATAGACTGATCTTTGCTGATGAGAAACCTAAAGCCTAAAATACACACTGCATTGTGAGTTACCATTCTGTAAAACTATAACTACCAAACAAAAAATACACTACATACTGCCAAGCTAACTAGAAGGTAAGCAATGATACTGGATGGATGTCACAGGGCTGGTTTGGTGGTTCCTTCATTTAGAGGACTGACAAAGGGTTTTTGATACTATTTTCAACAATCTATTCCTGGCAAAACAAAAACTACTATCTACATATTTGAAAAGTGCAGAAATACAACCAATGACCTCCCCCCCCCGGCTCTCTTGCTACAGTAGGTACCAGAAACCACTGTTCTGTGCGATCACTTCTGTGCCACCTCTCTTGAACTCCAGTCTTCTAAGACCCATATTCCTGGCTCTTAATTCCAAACACATTTGACTGTGGTAATCCTCTGATTTCACATCCTTTTCAAAACTCTGCAGTCCTATACATTTTTCAGTACTATAGTTTTGGCATTCTCCCCCAATCTCCTGGTGATAGACTCCTGCCTCCCTCTCTCCATGAGTCTCCTAGATTAAGCCATCACAATAACCCTGCCCTCCTACAAACAAACCCATGGGGATGAGTTTGGCAGATGGAACTAGACTACTGGATTAAATTATAATTCTATATAATAAAAGCCTAATATGCAAATCAGTCACTATGATGCACACTGACCACCAGGGGACAGGTGTTCAATGCAGGAGCTGCCCACAGGCCCCATGCCAGCCAAGGCGGGTGCCAGCAGGAGCCTCCCAATCGCCCCCGTGGTCGCCCAACAGATTGGCCCTGATCTCCAACCAGGCCTAGGGACTCTAACGATGCATGAATTTCATGTATCAGGCTTCTGATATAGAAATAATAGTAAGTTTAAATTCTGATCTTTCAGGTTCCTTAAAATATGATCTTATATAAAGTCACTTACACCTGCTTTGTGTAAAATAAACAATCAACTTCTTGTGCTGTATGATCTGACTGTGACGAAAGGCAAGACAAAGAAGTATGTTTACAAATAAGCCTAAAATCAATCACTAAAACAAGAAGAGTCACGGAAGGTGGCTTAAAATGTATATTCTCTAGGTCCTTCTCCTCAGGGACTGCCTCCTTTTTAAGTACCTCAAAGGAATCGAAGCAGGTGGTAAGAAGGCTGTATTTTGAAGAAATACTGGTCTAAGTCTTATATGAAACATCTTTGAGTCATACTTAAATCAGATAAACAACTTTACATATTTTTATCCAAGATTCCAATTCCAAATCCTTTTTAAAACCCAATGAAGTTTCTCTTAGTAATACAGTAAAAGTTGTCTATTCTTTGATAGAATTATCAGGCTAAAAGGCTATTTTATTAAATCAAGCAAAACCACTGCTTAGGTCGAAGCCGGCTTGGCTCAGTGGTAGAGCATCGGTCTGCGGACTGAAAGGTCCCAGGTTCGATTCCGGTCAAGGGCATGTACCTTGGTTGCGGGCACATTCCCGGTAGGGGGTGTGCAAGAGGCAGCTGGTCGATGTTTCTCTCTCATCGACGTTTCCAGCTCTCTCTCTCTCTCTCCCTTTCTCTCTGTTAAAAATCAATAAAACAAACAAACAAACAAACAAAAAAACACTGCTTAGAAAAGATCAAGAACGCAATTTTTTCACAATCTACTATTAAGTTGCAAAATAAGCAACAAATAATAGATGTACCAATTATATTATGCAAATCATTAAGAAATCTTAATACCATTTCTAACATCCAAAATCAAATTAAGATATACAAACCCTCCAATTACTAGAAAGGTTTTAGGTATGGAAGATGCTTACCTCCTGTAAATGATGAGGAAATTGCATAAAGTGACTGATAGAAGCCAAGTGCTGACAATACTGAGGATAGTCCTTCAATCTGCCAACAGAAACATTTACTCACTATTTCATGTAAATACAGAGGCAGCACAATTAACAAAAATTTTCTTCCCAGTGCTAACCTAGGCCATTTCTCTCATTCTGCCTGAGAACTATCTTACTCGAAGATAATGCCAAAGGGAAGAATACAGAAGTGAAGGGGGGAAATATTTATAAACTTCACCTCCTTTTATAACAGAAAATGTTTCAAAATGTCATATTTTACTTAAAATTGATTACAATAAGCCACTAAAACTGCAATCTGGAAACAACCTTAAATGTTCATCAACAGGTGAACAGAAAACAATTTGTAGTTAATCCATACAACAGGATAGTAGTCAGCAACAAATAAACCCTTCTGAACCATGCAGTAAAATGGATGAATTTCGAAAGTACCATGCTAAGTGCAAGAAGTCAGGCCCATACACATTGTGCTTGGGTGAATTCAAACAACAATATGAAAAAACTAGACCAAATCAAATCAGTAGACTTCAACAGGGAGACAAGAGAACTGTTTTGGGGACGATGGATACAATCAGTATCTTGATTGTGATTACACAATTGGAAAAAATTTGTCAAAATTCAAATAACCGTGCACCTAAAATGGTAACTTTCACTGTGCAAAAAGTATACCTCAATAAACAAACTCTCCCTGTGATTTCATTTTATACTGTTCATACCCCTTAATTGATAGGTGTAATTAATTATTTTCACTTCTCATCTACTTCAGTCATTATAAGTTAACATATATATAATAATGAGATTTGACAAGAACCAATTGATAAATGAGTTATTATAAATACTTATATTTAAAAAAAGTAAGTTTCAAAGGAAACCTAACCACTTACCTATTTTTAAATCTATCTAGTGCAGCAATCCCAAAATAATACATTTTGGATCCAAAAGGCTTGCGTAAGGCTTCAAGAACATATCGCAGGGCCAGGCCTAGTGCCATGTAAGTAACCAGCCCTTTTTCAATTATCCCACCAAACAGGCAGGCTGTTATATGTAACTCTTTATCAGGGTACTGGGGGAAAAAACGATATTCTTCAAACAAGTTCCTTAGCATACAATTAAATACTTCTCGTTCCCTCTTTATGGTAGAGTCTTTAAACCTCTGTAGCATTTCTAATACCTGGAAAAGGCAAGACAAAACAATACACAAAAAGAAACTATTATTAAGAGCCTCCCAAAAATGTCCTTAACAGATTAAGCAAAATTATTTCACAATAAACTGAGCTTAAGATAAATGCTAAGATTTTAAATGATGCACAGACATATCAACATACTTTGGGCTGGATTTCTAAAAGCTTTGCAAGGGGCATTTAAGATTTACCTAGACCATAAAGATTTTCATCATCCTAGACACTCACCTCATCAACAGACATGGTTGGATGTGGTGGGTGATTATATATTCTCTGGAAATAGCTGTTTGCTTCATCATCTATCTCTTTACTAAAGTGCTGATTTGCCTCTGGCCACACCTGAGACAAGTCCGCTGTTAGAAACAGAAAAGCAACTAGTGGGCATTTAGGCTCTTACTTCACTCCCCCATAACACACATATAGAGCCAGAGAGACCAAGATAGTTTTAATTTTAAGGGGAAAAATAAACTGAAGAAAGTATTAAGTGGTCAAGTTTTAATATTCAGCTGTTCTAGGTACACATAAAGGATTTTAACAAAACTGCCTTACAACTATGGTTCTAAGTATTTTCTTCAACTGGACTTTAATTATGCCATGAAGGACCACAAAGTTCAAATTCACAATGAATTTACCCTTAATAAACCTTACTCAAGGTTAACAAGTCTTTACTTCACAATAAAAATCATATTTAACATATTAAGAATCACTAATGCATATGCATGACATACTGATATGAACACAAAGCATGCTACAAAACATTAACATTCAGACAAGCCTTTCATACTAACACTGTCAAATTCTGCCTAGTAAATACTTAGTCACGACCACAAAAAAGACTTCTCTGACTTTAGGATAACTAAGGAGGTGAAACTTTAAAGTGTTTTTTTTGTTTGTTTGTTTTACATCATGTACATTATATGGCAATATTTATTTTATTAAATATTGTATAATTAAGGTTATATATATGTCATGAAGTGATAACCTTAAATAAATTATTAAAGCCTCCTGGCTGCTCTTGATTAGTTAAAAAACACTACCACCTTGCCTGGCCAGTGTGACTCAAGTGGCTGAGCATCAACCCATGAATCGGGAGGCCATGGTCGATTTCTGGTTAGGGCACATGCCTGGGTGTGTGGGAGCAGCCAATCAATCTCTTTCATCCTTGATATTTCACTTTCTTTTTCCCCACTCCCTTCGTCTCTGTGAAAGCAATAAAACAACCATCGCACCCCAAAAACCACACCAAAAAAAGTAGGATAAGTATATTCGTCAAATCTAAATATAAGATTTTACTTTTCTCTTTATTATTCGTCACACTTTAAGGATAATACCCCTAAGGATGCTAACCCTCACTTTGTTCTGACAATCCAGATCAAAGGTAGAGTGACTCATCAAATTTTCATTTTAGTAATTCAAATTTGTGCATTTGCTCCTACTGATCTAAGAAATACATCAACATATGGCTCTAAATATCTTAAGTCAATGTTTTTGTCCATAGAACTATAGACAACCAATTGGACATAAAAGTTTATGTTCTTCAGTCATACTTCACAATCACAGACAACACTACCACTTACAAGGTTTCATCTTACTCTGCTGGAATGTAGGCTGGTTCAGTCCAGAGGTGCCCAGTTTCCTCTGCACAAAAGGATCGTTATTCACTGCAGGGAGTCCAAGCGCCCCAGTTCCTATACCAGTCAGGCTGCCTGTGCCAAGACCACCTACTAGAAAGAACGAAGCAGCCAGAAGTCTTATCATTACTCATGTTCTTGACTTTAATTACATCAAAGATATAAGTTCTTATTTAAAAAGGTCTTTGTTAATTATCTTACAATGTCTATTTAATTTTGTAGAAAATCCAAACTAGTAAAAGTAGACAAAAACAAACTGCAAAATTTAGTTAGCATTTAGAATTATTCATTTCTTTATATTCTTTATAACATTAAAATGCAAAATTTTAACTATTGAGGTATATGTTCTCATATGTGATATAGGTAGCCAAAATAAGGACGACTTGGTTTCCTCAGTGATTAAAACTGAAGACTTTCATACTATTAAGTTAGCATGAGTCAGGACTTCTTTTTTTCCCACAACACTAGCAAACAAAATTATTTTAATAACTAGGACTTTGCTAAGGCCTTATTAGAGTAAATTTGTTTTAAATGAAAGACAATCAGGGCTAGAACCATATAGCAGCAGTGTAAACTAGGTTACAGAGTCATTACATTTCAGTCCTTAGGTTTTAATAATATTCTAAACTTAATAGTCTGAAAGATAAAAGGTGAATACAGCTGAGAAGAAACAATTGGGTCTAAGAAAGGGGGGGAAATGTAACCTTTATTTCAATATAAAATTATAAGCCAAAGAATTTTAAAAGCTTGAAAACGTTGTAGAATCTTATAATAATAAAAGTGTAATATGTTAATTAGACCTGAAGTCCTTCCACAGGGCCTTAGGGAGGAAGCCGGGGGTACAAGGGAAGCCTGGGTCCAGATGCCAGAGGGAAGCTGGTGCTGGCAGCCAAGGGAAGGAAGGCCTACTCTTGCAGGAATTTCATGCATCATGCCTCTAGCTTACTATCATTTTCAAGGTAGGTTAAAAAAATAAATAAATAAAAATAAAAAAAACCCCAGCAGAACATACATCTGAATCTGATGTGCGAAATATTTTCTACCTTGAATAACTCATAAAGCTGTCAGTTCTTGATCTAAGCCTAAGTCCTTTAAAATGTGTAATTAACACATTTGTCACTGTTTATATTATCATTTGGTAATACAGAATCTTCACTGAATTCAACTTTACAACTAAAACATTGTAATTTAAAAATATTAGACCCAGTGCACGAAATTCATGAATGGGGGGAAGGGGGGGTCCCTCAGCCCAGCCTGCATCCTCTCCAATCTGGGACCACTTCGCAGAATGTCCCACAGGGATCGGGCCTAAACCACCAGTCAGACATCCCTCTCACACTGGCTTCTAACCACTTGCCTGCCTGATTGCCCCTAACCACTCTGCCTGCCAGCCTCCTAACCGCTCCCCTGGTGGACTGAATGCCAACTAACTGCTTCCCTGCAGGCATGATTGTCTCCAACTGCCTTCCCCTGCGGGACTAAGAGGACTGGGGGACTGAGGCTGGATGAGGCGGGGCTGAGGGTTCTGGGCACCACTATCTTGTGAGGGTGTGGAAGTCTATTAGCATATTCCCTCTTTTTTGGCTGTGGGCACCACCATCTTGTGAGGGTGTGGAAGTCTATTAACATATTCCCTCTTTATTGGCTGTGGGGACCACCATCTTGTGAGGGTATGGTGGTCAATTAGTATATTCCCTCTCTTATTAAATAGGCTGTTTTTCTCTTCTCAACTATGGGTGTTGAAGCCACCTTTTATAATTTAATTTAAGCAGTTTTTCTTATCTTAAGTCACTCCAAACACCACAAACTAAGGCACAGTGAATATTATAGATACCTTGCGTCCTCACCCACCCCCTTACCTGGAAGCTGTGATGAAAGTCCTCCAATACCACTGAATGCAGTTGTTTGATTTGGAGTAGAAAGGGGTGGGAATGCTTTTGCTGGTGACTGAGGGGTACTGAAGGCAGAACCCAAATTTGGAGGAAAACCCTGCATACTCTGAGTGT